CACTAGTTAAAGAGCCTCTCCATAGCAATATCCTTTATCTGAGCAGCAGAGGAAGCCCCTTTGCTTGACAGAGAATCTTAAAGGAGAAATCGGACTATGGTGTGCATTACAAAACCTTCAAACAGGACCTGTCAAGATAACAGCATCCCCGTAATGAACAACCCACAGCTGCGATCTTTTATTCAAACAGCCTCTGTGTCACTCGCCAGAGCTGTTGATTAGATATTGTAAATCCCAAAGATGGATATCAAGCAGAGTTACATTTCGAACACAAGCGAAAACTGAGAAGTCGACAGTTTAGTCAAATAAAAGCCTGAGATTAAAGAAACTTTGGCAGCCAAGTGCAGATAATTGATTTATAATGTATTAGGCTGTGTGATGATCAGCAGTCATAGGAGACAGCGGGTTGGTTCATATTACCACCTTGCGGGTTTTGATCAGACGTCAGTCGGTGATTTTGACAGCTCTGCCCGCAGAGGCGCTTCCCTTAAATTGTGGTTGCCAGTGTGCAAATAGACATTTCTTCTCAGCAGCTAAGCCAATCAGAAGTGCGTGCTCTGCATCCTTTCATTATCACTCGCATGTGTTCTGCTGCAAAAAAAGCTTTTCGCTATTTCCACAGGCACAGAACTCTAAGAGGATGTGAGATGAGACTTTGAATATTTTCATAAAATATATTCTCAATCATTAATAAACTTTTTTTTTTCTGTCAACAAAACCACAGAAGTTAACTTTCATCTGTGCAATAAACAACCAATCATGCAGGGAAGAGACCTTGTACCAACAAACAAGCTTCCTGGAACCTGAACTGATGCAGTGGGACTGTCTAACCATTCAGTATGATGTATGAGACTATAGCTAATATGTAAAGTGCTATTAATCTCTTTTTGTTCTGTCTGGAAAGGTCAGCATTTGCAAAGACAAGTCTGGAGACAGTAGATGTGTCGCATTTGTGAACAGAAGGTTGAATCAAAGACAGTGTTTTGCTCTTAAACAGATATGGCCTCAACCATCTGTCTGTACACAGTTTCTGACTGATATATATACAGTGGTGGAAATGGCCAAAATTCACTGGGGGGACTCTAGCTTGGAGGGGGAGTGGGTGGTAATTTTAATAATGGTAATTTTAGATTACCTTTCAGATGTATTTAATTATAAAACCCTTTATAATCTATAACATTAAAGGGGTCATATGATGTTGCTAAAAAGAACATTATTTTGTGTAGTTGGCGTAATGAAATGTGTTTATGCGGTTTATTTATACTGTCTTTTTACACGTTGCGTTGCATCGCGCCGCGTAAACATAAACCCATGTCTGCATTTGTGATTGGAGAAATTACAAACAACAAGGTCTACTCTACACTGCTCAAACTCACGTTTGAATCGTCAGTGGCAAATTCTTTAAATATGAAAAACGTACTTACAGTCTGTGAGTCAGAACAGCCAGCATTGTAGTCTACTCTACCAGGATCAGGAAACAGTCCTCCATAAAATACGCTGCACACATCTGAATATTTGGGTTGAACTGTTCTGGAACAGTGTTGTAAATACAACTTAACCACTGATTTCTAGTCGTGTCCTCTTTTGGAAGATCAAACAAAGTAGTTTCGCTTTCACAGCGAAACACAAGGCGGGCTAGAGTAAACGGAGGCCGGAGGCCTAGAGTGAGCGGAGGCAGGCGGGCTTGAGAACGGCGCGGCTGGCGGATTCGACGAAGGAGTGTCCGGCGGGCTTGCGGCAACCACATGTGACGACCCCGGGCT